GTGTTCTACTCCTAAGACGTTGGTTTTTCAAGATCAGAATGGTTGGGCTGCCTTGTCACATACAACTACTGGGTGGGGTTTTACTTACATAGTTGTACGAGCTTTAGCATCAGCTGCATCTGACCTAATAAAGAACTGTCACTATTTCTGATCTTGGCAGCAGAGGTGGGTCTTTGCCCTGGAGTCATATTCTTCTCCAGTTTATAATGATATAGAGTGTTTATACTTAATTTGACTGTATTCTTAGAGACCTAAATCTTTTCTCTTAGTGGATTGCCAGACTCTTCTGTGACTCTAACATTCTCTCTGTCTCTGTCTCTGTCTCTGTCTCTGTCTCTCTCTGTCTCTCTCTGTCTCTGTCTCTCTCTCTGTCTGTCTCTCTCTCTCTCTCTCTGTCTCTCTCTCTCTCTGTCTCTCTCTCTCTCTGTCTCTCTCTCTCTCTGTCTCTCTCTCTCCCCTCCTTTTCTCTCCCTTCCTCCTCCTTCTCTCTCTCTCTCCCTTTTCCTCTCCCCTTCCTCCCTTCCTCTCTCTTCCATCCTTTCCCTCTTTTCCATCTCCTTCCATCTCTCTGTCTTACAAGCATTTCTGTGGAGATTTTGATTCTCCTAGCCTATGGGTGGACCTCTAGGACATGATCCCATACAGGAAGCAAAATGTTCCAACGTATTGGCTTGTAGCCAATAGTTAAACAGGAAGCACTAACCTCTGACATTAAAAAGAAAAGACGATCTTGGGCTGGGATAGAGATTAGTAGTAGAAAGCTTATCTATTATCTAAGAGTCTACAGGTTAAGTCTTGAGAATTACAAAGAAATAAAATAAAAATGTAATCACTTTACTTTTCTAATATTCTGGATTATTTATTCAGCAAGAAGCTGACTGCTTCAAGGAGAATTAGAAATCCATCCTTAGATGACGTTCCCTTACTGAGGCTCAAATGACAGAAAAGGGATTGTGGAGCCGGTAGGCGGCTCTGCTGGAGTAGGAAACAGTGAAGAATGTGACTAGGCACAGCCCCAAGGGTTTTCTTTCTCTGACAACTGTGAAGATTCCCCCCCACCCCCAGCACATGACTTGAGAAAACGCAGCTTTAAACATCATTCTACATATTAGATACAGAAAGTACAGTGAGCGAGAACAAACAAACAAAAAATGCCTAAGTCCAATCTAAGGATTCACAGAGCAATGGCATCTTTCAAAATGACCAGAACACCAAAACGAAGCAAGCCATCTGTGGAATTTCATGGCTGCAGAACTATGAGTCACACTCTTCAAGTGGATGCTGAGTATCTCCAACATGTCACTCCTGAAATAAGACTAGGTCTTCCTTCTTTCCTCAGTTGGAAGAAGGCAGAGAGAAAGCCTAAGTCAGTCTACTAGCCCTCAGTGGAGGCTAGATAACTTACGACTGTAGCAAACCCTAGGTATAGCTTAAAGAGTATAGAGAAGCCAGCAATGGGGCAAAAACTACAGGTCTTAATTTCATCAGTTTTCCTGCGGTTTGTTTTCCTTGCTGAATGAGAAACCAGAGTGCTAGGGGGGAAAAAAAGGAAAATCAACAGTGCCACCCAGGCCTAGGCAGAACTTAGGACAGAATACTTGGCCATAATTTTTGAGGCCATTTGATATCCTACATTAGACAGTCTGTATTTTCATTAAATTAACTAGACCCTGTCATTCCAGTGTCTCTTTTGTGGCCTCAACTTCTGTGTGTCAGATGATGTACAAATCTTAAGGGAGAGTATGTCCTTCCCAAAGTGATAACTAAGAAGAGAACAGAGATAAAAACAGACAGAACCCTTACAGCTGTAGCAAGGAAAAGAAACTCAATGGAGTAGATCTGCCAAGCAGATCCGTGGGCAGAACTACAGAGAATGCTGGCTTCTCCAGCACATTGGGCATGTTCTCCACACTGGGCACCTGGCCAGGGGGCTGCAGAATTCATGGTAGTGGACAGAAGGTCATTGGGAAGGAAAAGATATGCATGTGCAGGATAGTTAAACTACAAGGTTAAGTTGCTATAACCTGGGTAAAGCAAAGCAAGGTTGTCCTTCTGCTGGGTTAAATCACTGTACTGAAAATAACTTGGGAATGAGGAAGCCTGAGAAGGCTGGCCACAATGCTGAATGTCAAGCTACTCAACAGAGACATGACCACAGGGTGCATGAAGTTCACAGGCCTTGTGTTTCTCAAACTGGAGCTGCCAACTTCTGCTAATACTAGTGGAGAAAGACCAGAAGGGAGGGCAGGTGGCAAATTCCTAAGCATGTGGCCACAGCACTAATGGCCATGTTCAGATAGAATTAGCTGGCCCTGTCTTGTTCCAGCTTCTCAATCCCTGCTCATCTTTATGAGCTCAAAATATTTATGCTGTGCCCAAGGGAGATTTATACCTCTGAGGCACATGAGGTTTGTTCTTCCTCTTCTCAATGGAGTTAGCCTTCCACTCTTGACCATCTAAGCATCAGCTTACTGGCTTACTCTGTCCTTAAGTCTTCATAGCACATCTATCCTAGTTCAGGTCAAACATTGCAGGGCGAGTTATGTATCATCTAGCACCCTGCTCAGGAGCCCCAGGTGAACTCAGTGGTACTAGATCCATCTGATTGATGCTGGTCAGAATGGCCTTCCAGACTGCCATCCATGAGTATATTAGCTCACCTTCTTAGCTCAGAAATTAAGGTACAAAGTCAATTTAATAGAGGATATCTGATGGTTATATCTCAAACATCAGTGCATCCTGGAGTTTTATACTCTACACAGATGTTTGGGAAGCTTGGTTGGATTTTCTTTGAAAGGGATATCCTAACTCTCTTCCTGACCCGTTCTCTTCAGTTCTTCATGTTAAAGTTACTGCTTTCTGTTCTTCCCTATAAGCTTCTGCTCTATCTATTTTTGTAAGCTGAGATAAAACGTTCTCATTCTTTGGAGTTTAAGCTAAAATAGGGGTTGGGCTCCTAAGTAGAAGACCAAGAGTCATGCATTGGATATATGAAGACATGGTCACTGAAAAGGTTTATTCTAGGCTGCCTAGAGGTAAAGACCCTCCACCTTATTGACATAATCTTTTTCTCTTTTCAGCTCTGGGGTTGGCACTCATAGCTCCCATTGCCAAAAGGACTGTAGTCTGGGCATTAGCTTTCTTTGGTTCAGCTCTGAGTTAGGGGAAGTCAGGGGCTGTATTAAAAGTCAAGGCATTATAGGGGTGTCATTATTGAGGCACAAACACCCAGTATCCAGTCTTTACCTTGCACTAATCCCACTGTACCCCAGGACTGCTCATCTTCCCTGTGAGTAGGGTCATCAGTTCAGTCCTCTGGAGACGGGGGATTCCATGTACAAGAGAAGGGACTGCCATCTCTGTGGTGAGAGTAGGAACTCCCTTTGGGGAGCATGGGGAGTAGAGAGTGGAAAGAGTCAGCCAACCAACTGTAGAGAGGGGATCCCCAGGGTCCCCATACCACGGGAAGCTTCTTTACCAGGATGGAGACAGGGTAAGGGTAGGAGGTCAGGCAAGGTGGAGCTATTATTCCTTCAGCACCCTGGCTCTCAGCCGGCTTTCCTCAGATGAAATTCTCTACATCATCCTCCCCAGTTCCAACCCCTCCTCTCTCCACCCCGCCCCGCCCTGTGCCCATCCCTGCTGGCCACTGGGTCCATCGCCCAGGAACCACCTCCTATTCCTCCTCCCCTGCGGTTCTTTCTGTTCCCCAATCCCCATTGGCATCTGGCCGGGCATAGCCATCACCCTCCCTCTACTCTCCCCACTTCCCCTAGCTCCGCACAGGTCTTGTTCCCTTTCCCCTCCCCCACCCAGCCCACCTCTGACAGGCCGCGGGAGTGAGGAAGATGCATTCCTTCAGTCCCTCCACTGCTGGTCCTCCCTCCTCCGGGAACCTGAGGCTCTGAGCTGGGGCGCCCTTCTTCCTATCTCTACACAGTTCTTCAAGCCACCCCATTAACCACCAGCAGCCTCCAAGAAGGCTGAGGTGCCCCCATAGCGCTGACCTACATAGCCTGGTCTGGGGCGGGAGGGGCTCTTCCCCAAGTCCCCTCTCCCTTGGCCCCGCCTCTTTTCTTCATCCCCCGACTCCCTTCCTTCATCTCTTTACCTTTAGAAACCCAAGAAGGGTTGAGTTTCAGACTGGGGCAAAGAGGCTAATCTGCTACCCCACCCTAAATTTGGAGAAATTAATGTTCAGCCCAGGAAAGCTTTGGTTTTCCCATAGATCCTTCTCCCCAAATATCTTTCTCTCTCCGTTTGCTGCCCCGCACCCAAGTATAGGTTTCCTTTCCCAGATTTTACCACCACTAGGACTAGAGCCAAACTGGGGCCCCCTCCACCCTGTGTTGTTGTTTTGCTTCAAGGAGAAGCCCCCTCTCCTTTGCCCACGCCCCCCTCGACAGCCTCACCCAGGCCCCCTTCCCTGCCCACTCAGAGCTCCGCGGCGGGTGGGGGACGCGCGGGGGAGCAGAAATGTTTGCATACAGCAGTTTTGGGGCTCGTTCTGACCATCCAACCCCTACAGACATACATACACAAACACCCAACACACGCCCTGACTGAAACAGCGACAAATCTCACTCCGCCCCCAACACACACTGACACAGACATACACACAGACTCTGACACAGAAACGCAGCACCAGACACCAACATAGACGCGCACACCCAGACACACACGGACATCAACACATCCAGACCCTGGTTGCTCAAAATAGACAGCAGTCCCCAAGATCCGGATCCCTGCTGCACACGCAGACATACACAGTTGGCCGTGTACACAGGAGGGTGTACACAGGAGGGTGCACACGCCGGCACACCCCACGGTCCTCAGAGACAGCGATGCTCAGAGACAGACACAAGGGTATTCCAAGAGGCTGGTGACTTGAACCCTCGCTTCCAAACAAAGCCAACAGGCTCCCTGCGCCAGCTCTCAATCTGAACCCCCACCTCGGGGCACTGGCCACCTCCCCTGGCGCCGCCCCCTCCCTTACTCACCGTCCTGGGAAAGATTGGCCCCACCGGGCGCCCAGGAGCAGGCGAGGAGCAGGAGCAGGGGTAGGGCGGAAGGGGCGCCCATCGCGCTTCCTGACCACCTCCCTGGCTGGGCGCTGGCGAGCAAGGATCTCCGAAGACTGGGGCCGGGGGTTCTGGGTAGCCGGCGTCGCTGTCCAAAAGGGCGCCCCCAGAGCGGCTTCCAAGCCCGGGGCCGAGGCGGGTACCGGGAGGGAGCCGGCGCTGCTGCAGTCGCCGGGATTAAATAGGGCGCTCGGAGCAAACCATTCGGTTGGAGGTGGAGGGGGGGTGACGGGGGGCTGGGCTGGTGGCGGGGGGGCCTGGATGCCGCATTCCCTACTCCCCCCCACCTCTCACACCCCCTACAAGCTTTTGTGGTGCCTTCCATCTTCTCCCCCGAGAGCTCCTCCAGCATCACTCGGGTGTGGAGCAAAGGGAGGGAGCTGACTCAGAAGCGGGACCCCATGCGCACCCCTCTTAGACTTGGGGTGGAGAGAGGGGAGGTGGACAGGGCGGTGGGCCAGCTGGCGAGAGAGTCCACTGCAGGCCTGGGCAAGGGCGTGCCCACTAGTCTGAGATCCTCCGGCCCCGCCTTCTCCTTAGGCAACCGGGATCCCCAAAGCTAGGACACCCCTATCCGCTGTGTGACCCAAGATGCCTCCCCAGGGTACCTAATTGCTCAAGGCATTCTCCTAAGCATAAACCTCCTCAGCTCCTCTTACTCAAGACCCTCTACTTAACTGTTCAGCAACAATTTGTGGCTCCAGGCAGCATCCTTTGCAAAGAAGACCCTAGGAGGCCACCGGACCCAATCTCAAGCCTTCTTTGAAACATTATTCCAGACACTAAACAAGGAAGTGTCCTGTCAAGTTAGTTGGTATTTTCCTCCTCCGTGCTCTGTCTTAGACACTCTTTCGCCAAACTAGCCCCTCAATATCCTTTCTGCCTCAGTCTTTCGGGGGCTCTTCTCAACTTTTAGCTAGTAAGAACCCAAGGTGAAAGCCAGACCCACAGACCCTCTTACAGACCAAGAAACAATGAGTAATGTAGCTCTTGTTGCCGGAGGCTATAGAGAAGATGGATGAGAAAGATTGTGTTTGCACTTGCTCACACTCAAGAGTCCCAAGTCCCTAGTGTTTGCTGTTCTCGGTTATCTCTGAAAGAGTTTTGATATGTTTAAAAAGAGGATCTTTCTGGGTTCGTTTGGTTGAAATTTAGCTTTGGAGAATAGATTTCTGTAGAAATTAAGGAATTTTAAGTATGTTAACAATTCTTAGAAAAATACCTGATTTAACCCAAAGGAAGTTAGCAGATCTATTCCAGGTCTTACATTCACTTAGAAATATATCTAACATTAGGAATGGAAGAGAAAAGTATATAGTGCTTTATTCTACAAGTGGGATGAGGGTGGCTCTACTAATATCTCCAGTCCATTTCCTGTCCTGCTTTCCCGTGCTAGTCTTTAATGTTTGGGTAATCTTTCCTTCCTTATGTCAAGGCTTCTTAACTCTTTACGGTGATGTAGCTAATGTCTCTGTCATCTAAGAATCCGAGGATAGCCTGCAGAACATATTTCGTAACCAATAAAGCCTTGTCTAAGTGACAGGCAGTGATCTGGGGCTGAGATAGTACTATTCAGGGTGCCCCTGCAGGCTGGTCTGGGTCTGCTCTGATATTTTTCACTCACTGTTTCTGGAGTTTAAAAGTTTCTGTAGAAGAAATCTGCTTGCCTTTTGGACATTTCATGACTGACTGAGTGGGTATTTCTCCCTAGACAATACTGAACAAGGTCTGATTTGACCTGTCTGGGTGACACCAAATCACTTTACCTCTCTGAGATCACTGCTGTCTTTAAACCCGAGCAGTGGGGATGGAAAAGTGTATATTGCAGGAATGTGGAGACGTGGATATAAACAGGGGGGAGGCTGGAGCAGGAAGGTGGAGATTGAAGCAAGATTAGACTTTTTGATGGAGGTGGAACCAGGGTGGTATGAGGTTAGTTTTGATATGAAAAGGAAGGGGGTGGGAACGTAATACAAAACCCCAATTACAAAGCAAAACAAACTTATCAGCCATGGCGAGAAAAATCAGGGTTTTTTAGTTAAAGGCTCTTGATGGATAAAGAGTTTATATTTGAACTAGAAGAAACCTTTGCTTAGCCACCAATATAAGTGGAATTTAGGTGGAAGAGAGTAAAGGGTGAGTGGAGGTGAATTAGGTGGGGGTAGGCTGGGTGTGGGATTAAGTCCCAACGTCCTCTAATTAACCATCTTTTCCATCTGCTGCATCATAGAGATCCCCTTCTGCCTGTCCTTAATTCTCTGATGACTGCTGCTCCGGCCCCACCCTCCACTGTAACTGCAAGGAGTGGATGGGTACCAAGGGTGGGAGGGGAGAAGTCGAGCTGTTTTGGAGAGACTGTATTAAGGCTAGCAAATGAGACTCTGGACTGCTCTTTTCCGACTGGCTCCTCTTCCCTTCCCTGCATCATCAGCATGAGTTTTGGCAGTGTTTTAGTTCTTGGTAATATGAAGTTGCCGTTGGCTTTTAGAATTATGGAATAAAAATATATTAGGGTTGCAAAGGATCTTCCAGATCATCCTTTTAAATGGAGTCATTGTTGAACAGATGAGGAAAATGGAGCTCAGAAGCCAAGCAGCTTCCTGTGTTCCACAGCTAGCTAGTAAAGGCTATCAGGACTGGATGAGGGACAGAGAGTGAGCACCCTTTAGAGGTGGAATGTCTGAGGAGAATCAGATCCAGTAATTGAGAACAATGTCTAATTTGAAGTGTTCTCTTCTGTTTACCTCGGAGTGATAATGTCTGCAACGTGGTATGCATTCGGTTGGGAAGAACCCATACTCTATAATTCTTCCACTACTGCTCTATCTGCACTGTGTCTCCTCCCCATTTTACAAGCATGCCATTTGCTTAGGAAAGGGGCTTTGCAAAGAAAGAGTGACCTGCAAGGATTAGCTCATCATAAAAATAGGTAAAATGTAAGTATCTATGTTGGATTGTGATCTCTATGGTTACTCTGCACTCGAAAATGCCGTGACATACAATTTGCTCTTCCGGAGACTTGCACAAGGTCTGTGGTGGGTTGTCTGTGGGATTACAGAGACTGCAGCTACAGAGAGATTTGTGGGTAGCCAAGGAGGGGAGTGAAGAGAGGGAGAGCTTGGCCTCCTGCATGCCCCTGTCCACTCAGCAACAGCCTGGGTATCTGGGGGTGTGGAATGTGATACTGGCACTGACGCTGGGCTAGACACAGCTGTGTGGGCCCTGGGCATTCTTTCCCCACACAGCTTCTGTTCAAAGGGGAGAGAGAAGGAACTCAGTTTGTTGAGGGTGAGTTTTATGTATTCATCTGGTAGAGATCAGCAGTACCTATAGGGAAGACTCAGGAGAAGAAGTGACTAAGCCGCCCACTCAGCTCCCTCCTCACACTCTGACCCTTCTCTCTGTGACTTAGTAGACTCTATGCAGGTTCACACACTGTTTTCTTCTTCAATTTTCCACCCAACTAAACCAGTTCTTGGCAATGCCATCCCTTGCTTCTATTATCCAGTTTTAATTAACAGCATCCTTAGTAATAACCTCAGTACGAATTTCAATTCTAACCTTAATTGAATTCTAATTTTAATCCTAACCCTAATCTATTAAGGATTCTAACCACCAGTCCTAATGGCAACCCCAACTTAATTATCAGTTTTAACCAGTATTTTCATTCTAACCAGGTTTGAGCTGGCAACTAGGAAAACAACTTGCACATGATTAAAACAGTCACAGGGTCCCATGAGCTGAGAAGCCATCATTTGCCAGCCTTCATGCTGAGTGCTTTATATATACAGTATCTTGTATGGGTACCAGAAGCTACCTAATGCAGTTAAATTTATTAGTTCCTTACCAGTGCAGAACATGTGTAACATGATTATAATTGTAATCAGTGGATCCAAGCCAGGCCTGCTTGATATGTGACTGTGTGCTCACCTCCTCTCTGCCAACAAGAAATTCTGACCAACCTTCTCCTAAAATCCTTACTGATCCACCCTGGCTTGACTTCTACATATTATTACTAGTTTTGTTTTATTTTTAAATAACAGTACAAATTAGGGATGGAGAAAATTGCAAAATCCTCACATGTCACTTTGAAACACTAAAGTAATTTATTGATGAAGTTAAAATATTCAGACTATAGAAAAAAACTAACTGCAGAGAAAAGCCTCCTTGCCTTCGCCTTCTTGGAGTAGCCATATTGCACAACCCCAGGGGGCATCATTCTAATTGGAGTTGTGTAACTCGGCAGCACTGCCTCCCGCAGCTTTCCAGGCAAGCAGATAAAGTCAAGGTAAATATCTACCAAATTAAATCGCCCTGGGTATGTGTATGACTTAAGCATGACAATCACTAGACACTTTGAATTTATAATTAGTAATAACTATTAAGGGTCAGACTTTCAGCTTAATTCTTTACATTTATCAAACATTTTCATATTCCTACGTCTTCTGTGCAGCATCCATCACCTCTCTATTACAGACTAGGACAATGGGGCCTGAAGAATTCCACAATGATGGGGAATGACACATCCAGGCCTCAAAGTCTACATTCTTAACTTTGAGCTTAGTGAGAAAAGCTGCTCAGGGCTTGGCTCTGAAGGTCATGTGGGCTTAGTTCTTAATGCCAGAGAAGTGGAGTTGCCTGACATTAGACAAGAGGATGACCTATGAGACGGTCGATGGACTCAGATTGATGTAAGAGGAGACAGTGTAGGGGAGAAGGGGTGTGAATAACTACATTACAGAGGGAAATGAGTGAGAGGTGAGAGAACAGAAGAGAAATATACAAATATGAGCACAGACTGGGGAAATTGTTTTGTGATAAATTCAAGCAAAAACAAAATCATATAATAAATATGTGTGTCTCCACTGCTTCAGCTACAGGCTGATTGATGTATTATGGAAAGACAGTAGACATATATAATCATTTTCAAACCAAAAATGCACATTTTCAGTTACATGGGGATTGGTAGCCTTCTCCAGTGAACTGTTTCCACATTGTTCCCTTTGAGCCTGTGTTCTTGCAATATCAAGCTGTTTGTAATTTCCACGAGATCCTTTCTTGTTTTATGCCTCAGTGTCCTTGCACACATTGTTTTTATACCTGGATTGCCCATCTCACCAAGCCTGAGGAAAATCGTGCTTATTCATCCAGACTTTGATTAGGTGCTCCCACCTGTGTAAAGCTTTCCACCTAGGG